GTTTATGTATATATGTGTGAGTGTGTGTTCAAATAACACTGCTACATTGATACTGAGTGTTAACATGGTTTTATTTCATTTTATTTTGCTGTCAAATCCAGATCATACAGTGTACAGTACATATATCTCAATTATGAATATGAATACATAATAAATATACTTTGTATTATATTCATTTTAAAGGAATGATTCATTAAAATTACAAAAGAGACAAATATCACAAACCAAATTTACCTGCGTGTCTATACACCACTAACATTACTGAGAAGCTGTGATGGGTGAAGTGACCCTCTAAATTACATGCAAAACATATTTTAAAGGGTAACTCTGCTATTTTTTCGACCTTGACCCTATTTTCTGACATTTTTGTGTCTAAGTGTCTATTGGAAATAAATATTTTTAAACTGGTCCAGTGCTGAGTGAGAGGGTCGCAGCAAAACAGGCCACATTTTTGTCAATTTACCTCCACTAAAGGTGCTTGTTTTTGCCACTGATAGACTCGGACTGTTAGTAACATCTCAATGCTGACACGCTCACCTCTAGACAGGATTATGGTAGCCTGGAAAGATAATCTGGGACTTATATCTGAGGACTAATGGGTCTCTATATGCTTATTGCAGTTTAAGGTGGTCAAACAGACCCACATGTCCAAGTTTAAGCTGTCTAGCATCTACCCTGATACAACCCCCACCTGTGACAAATGCAAAAACAATGATGCCACCCTGATACATATATACTGGCTGTGCCCTCACTCACAAACATTTTTTAAAGATATCTTCCATACCCTTTCTAAAAAAATTAGACCTAGACCCTATTGTTGCCCTGTTTGGCTTTGCTGATGGAGACAACCCTAACCTGACATCTGCAGAGCACCTTATGGTGACTTTTGCTCTGCTCTTGCACAGGCCATCTTGCTCAAATGAAAGGAGGCTGCCCTGCTGATATCTGGCCAGTGGCTTCGAGACATAATGTCCCAAACAAAATCAGCTCTGAATGCATTTTGATTTAGCCCTTGATATAAAAAAAAGTAAAACTCAACTCCATGGATGTTGTTACTCTAGACATTGTGGCTTAGAGATAAATAGATAGATAGATATTTAAAGGAAGGAAAACTTATATATGAGGATGGGTGGCGGGTGGGAGGGAAGAGCTATTGTGTCATATAGGGTATTACTGTAATTGCCTCAGAGTCATGTCTATTTCTGTTTGTTCTGCACACTGGTATATACTGTGTGGCGTTGTGGAATGTGTCTGCCCAACCCTGACATTTTTTGTGTTAGAATTGTCTGACAACATTATGAAAAAGATCCTTAAAGAGGATCCTTTTTGTTTACCAGAAATAGCCCTGAAATTGCCATCACCAAACCCACCAGACTCCATTTAAATAAACACTAATTTTATCACTGTAAAACACACTTCATTCTAAGTCACCAGAAACAAAATAGAACTCACTAAAGCCCTCTTGCTTTGTCTTTACACTGTTCTAACAATCACCATGGAGATGGCTGAATAAAACCCTTAACTCACTGAGTCAGATGTGAAAACATGCTGAATCAATACGCACTAAATTACTGTTTATTTAAATGGAGTCTGGTGGGTTAGGTGATGGCAATTTCAGGGCTGTTCCGGGTTAAACAAAACGGATCTTACTCTTAAAACATAAAGGTCTATCTCTGTAGGGATCCTTCCCATAATGTTGTCAGACACTTAAAATAATAATCTGAGCCGGTCAGTAGCAAAAGAAGGACTTTTAGTGGATGTAAATGATGAGCTGAGTAGTTACATTGCAGCCTGTTTCATGGTTGCTGGCTGCAGTGCTCTCGCATAATGCTGGACCAGTTTCAAAAACAAAATTTCAAAAGAAAAATAGCAAAATTACCCCTTAAGACAAGACAAAAGCACAAGTACAAGCACACATTTACACACATTTATTGTATCCACGTTATGTTACAAAGCTGTCATATTACAAACTGTGTTCTTTCTTTAGAGCCATTACAGGTATGAAGTTCCATTTGATTGTGAATAGGACTCCTAAGAAAAGAGGCGGCCGCTGACAGCCACAGACATGAGAGACGCGCTGGACTAATTGAGAACATCACTGAACCCATGATGCAGGGCGAGGACCTCTTTAGCATTTCAAAGCATTCACAGACACAAGATGAAAATGAAAATAGCACACATGAGGCTGTTTTTCAGCAGGGTTTCAATGAGTCTCCATTGTACAGTTTAATGATGTGCAAATTTGAAAGTGACAATACAGAATCTCACACTATTGGCTACACCTTTACACACACTGATGACAGCCGACTAAGACCTCAAAGGTCACATTAAGCTCCTTTAAAATGCAGCATTCTCTCCACATGTGCAACAAAAAGCAACAGGCAAAGACTTGTTTCAATGTGTTGGTGATGTTTTAGTGGAGGGACGCTGAAAGGATAACTGAACTGAAATGTGCCAGGTGGACACGGTGATGGTTTGAAAGTAACCTTCGCTTTGTTAGTTAATTTATTGTCACGTGAGCAACATGATTTTTTTTACAATTACTTAAGTCTCTTGAAAAGAAAAAAGAAATACACCTTTAAACACATAATGCTTCAGCTTATTGGAAGCCAGCTACTCTTAATCAAGCCAAATTAGTTAAAGGAGCTCTGTGATATTCAGCGCGTATCTTCAGCAGTTGTCTGCACATGGTTCTCAACATGGTCGTGGCTTAGCTGGCAGCTAGCAGCTAACAATGCTAACAGCACAAACAGTGCTAACAACAGCAACAGTGCTGACTGGCTGATGATATTAGCTGTGCTGGAACCAGAGGCTGGGCGCTATGCTTCTGTAATGACGCCGTCCCAATGTCAGCTGTAACTGTTGTTTGAGTGCGGTGTAGAGCGGTGGCATTAGCAAGCCAGTGGGATACCTGCATGTGCACACATGGTCAAGAAGGTATAACTGCAGCTGGAGCAGCTACATGACCCACCCTCAAGCTATACTACAAGACTCGCCCGCTTTAACCTACACTCCATCCATGATCAGCCCCCTTCGCTCCTTGGCCCAGATGCGGAGATCCTGACGGAATTCTTTAGTTGGCAATTGGCTAGCCATGACATTTTACGTTAAAAGAGAGGTGGTTGAGGTTAGGATACGAAAAGGATGTCTACATCTTGTTATTTATGTTAATGCTCATTAGCAATTAGCTCACGTTAGCTATGCAGTATAATGTTAAAATAGAGGCGTTTAAGGTCAGGATAAGGGTAATGGAAAGGCCACATCTCATTACATATGAAGTGAATCACTTCTTCATGTATTGTGAATTATACAGTGGATTATTGTAACATTTGGTGTCATTTGGGCGGCTGTGGCTCAGAGGAAGAGCGGGTCTTCCATCAATCGGAAGATCGGCGGTTCGATCTCAGGCTCCTCCAGCCTGCATGTCGAAGCATCCTTGAGCAAAATACTGAACCCAAAATTGCTCCCGATGTATGGGGTGCCGTTTGTAAAGTGGCTCACGCTGAAAATAACATCAACATTTTGCCACATTTAGCTTCAAACAATGTTTAAAAAAGTGTTGTGAATTTTTTAACGTCACCTTTTACCACATTTACAGCAATATTTGTTAACTTAGAAACATATTAAATAGTTAAATCTAAATATTAAATGTGGCACCTAAATGTTAAATGTTAAATCTAAATCTAAATCTAAATGTTAAATCTAAATCTAAATGTTAAATCTAAATACTAAATCTAAATCTAAATCTAAATGTTAAATCTAAATGCTAAATATAAATCTAAATGTTAAATGTTAAATCCAAATGTTCTGGGTGAAACTAAATATTTAGCTAATATGCAAATTCACACTGCCGGTCACCGGAAGTACCAAAATAAAAGCTCAAGATGGTCAGACTGTGTTTATAGAATCAAATAACGAATTAAAACCAACTTCTCGGGGGAAATGAACACTTGAACATACATTAGCGTGAGAATAACTACCTAAAATAACAAGAAACGTGTTTGGAGAGAATCACCTTGTTGTTTATAAATACTTCCAGGTAGAAAACCAGCGGAGTTTAGCTACATATATATATGCATATCTCACATTTTTCACCTCACTATATCACCGTTTAGACTAATCTGGTGTTTGTGAAGTCTATAAAAACAATGATTGAACAAACATTACTATCACATTCTGAAATTAATAACATCGTTATCGTAGATTAGCGGGGCTAACCATTAGCTGTTAGCCCCGTTAGCAGTGTCTGTAATGACTCATTAACTCTAAACGGTCCGTGAAAAAAAATATTTTTTTCCAGCGGGTGCTAAGAGCTAACGGTTGTTAGCTTAGTTTATGTTGTTAATCCCTCCGAAGGGACTCAAAGTACACGTCAAATAAAATTTCTCCAAACATGTTTCTTGTTATTTTAGGTAGTTATTACCACGCTTATGTATGTTCAAGTGTTCATTTCCCCTGATAAGTTGGTTTTAATTCGTTATTTGATTCTATAAACACAGTCTGACCATCTCGAGCTTTTATTTTGGTACTTCCGGTGACCGGCAGTGTGAATTTGCATATTAGCTAAAAATTTAGTTTCACCCAGAACATTTAGATTTAACATTTAACATTTAGATTTAACATTTATATTTAGATTTAATATTTAGATTTAACATTTATATTTATATTTAGCATTTAGATTTAACATTTAGATTTATATTTATATTTAGCATTTAGATTTAACATTTAGATTTATATTTAGATTTAATATTTAGATTTAACATTTAACACTTAGGTGCCACATTTAATATTTAGATTTAACTATTTAATATATTTCTAAGTTAACAAATATTGCTGTAAATGTGGTAAAAGGTGACGTTAAAAAATTCACAACACTTTTTTAAACATTGTTTGAAGCTAAATGATGACGTTATTTTCAGCGTGAGACACTTTACAAACGGCACCCCATACCGATGGCTGTTCCACCAGTGTGTGAGTGAGTTAAAAACTGAGTAGCAGGTGGCACCTTGTATGGCAGCCTCGGCCACCAGTGTGTGAATGTGTGTGAATGTGACATCATTACTCCACCTAATCTTTACAAAGGCCAAGCAAATAGTTGTTCACTGCTATATTAATGGTCTGAATCTCATATAGAGTTCCTTTGAAACATAACTTTGAAATAAGAAATAACACACTATTTTCTTACAAACAAACAAACAAACAAAAAAATCATGATCAGTAACACATACTCAACTAAATACACTCAGGGATTTAGGGTACTTAGTCTGATATAACCAGTATCTTTTGTTAGCTCATGCTGGCAAACTTTATAACTCTTCTCTGCTTGTGCCACTGGTATTCATTTTAGCAGATATCAGCATCACTTAAAGACCAGTTGTGGCCACAGTGACCAGCATTTTGAATTATTTGTGTTTACTCCCATAAGTAACGGATCAATTTTAACCAAGTTTTCAGGTACGTTTATTTGGTAAAGTATTTCCATTTTGTGTGACCTTCTGCATCTTCTCCACTAATCCACAATATCTAAAGCAGAGGATGCAATGTTTCAGCACTGAACATATCTGGTTTTTCATCAGGTGTAAAATCTGGTGTCTCCAATTTTGGGGATTTTCATTATGGATATTACTGCATCAATAATATAATTCTGTAGGCTATTAACTGCAACTCTTTTAATTATTAATTATTGATAAATGGCCAAACAGCCTCTAAAATGTGTTTTATATCATAAACTGGATATTCTTGTGACTTTAAAGTGTTAGTCATCCAAAAAAAGACATTTAAATACTTCATCTGTGGCTCTAGGAAATTATAACAGCCCTTTCTCACAACTTTCTGACCTATAGAAACAATACATTAATTTATGACATACACATTAGATTAATCACATTGGGATGCATTTGGGGTTCAGTGTTTTGCTCTAAGACACTTCAACAGGTAGAGCTGGGGAATCAAACCTTCAGTCTTACCATTAAGAGACAACTGCTCAACTGCTCTCCCACCTGTTAAATTTTCTCTTGAGGTGTTTCTACTTTCAGTTACGTAAAGGATTTTTAGTTTTTCTTTATCACTGGAGAGATTTCATATTAACGTGCTTTAAAAATTAAAACAATAACACTGATCAATGTATGTGATCCATTTTCACATAAGACCTTTGGCAGCTACTGTATAAGCCTGTCTCTGTCGAGCCTGATCTACACGACTGATGAGCTGCATACTATGCGCGTCCATAACAATCACTGTGATGCTGCAGAATGAGTTTCTATGTGTTTTTTTCATGCACGTGTCCTCAGTTGTTTTCTTGTTTGTTGGCCTGCTTGGCTCTCATGGCGTTCTGTGTGACCGTGGACAGAGATGATCCCGTCATGCTGGCCGTCTCCACAATCCCAATGTCCCTACAGGTCAGACACGCCACCAGCTTCTGACGAGAGGCGCTGCGAGCGAAGAAGAACTCGTGGGACACTCCAGCCAGTATAGCACCTATCGCTGGGCCGAGCCAGTAAACCTGAGGGTGGGGATAGGAGAAACAGGATATTAATGTAGGTTCAGGAGCAGGGCCATGCCTCAAACACACCTCAACCCATCCTGCTCTGTGTGTCTCAGATGTCTCAATCCTCCCTATCTTGTCCCTACCCACCCTCCTTCATCCTCTCTTCCCTTCTCCCTTCTTCTCTTCCTATTCATTCTGGTGCATACCTCTCCCATGTCTCATTCTAGGTACCGTCTGGGGTCCTGTAATCAGCTCGGGTGGAAAAACACCTGAGACAGATCCCCCACACTGACTCTCCCTCTGCCTGATCTTCAGTTCATCCTCCCAGACCAACCTAATGGAAGACATCCCTCTTCCACCTTCACCCTCACTTACATCCATTCATCAGTCCTCAACAACTAACACTTCCTGAATTACAAGTAAACCTTTAAACAACAGGTTGTGGCGTGGTCCTTTCTAGTGAAATAAGATTTAAGAGATGTGTAGACAGAGAAATGCTTTCATTTTATCTGGATGACAAATAGACAACAAAATAAAATCACCGGAATAACAGTTGAGCTCTGCAACTGTGGTCATTATAATACTTGTGCTGGAACAATATTCAGACACTTCATTTAAGTAAAATGCAATACTTTAAATGTACTTCATTACAAATAAAAAGTCTTACACTCAAAATGAAATGTGAATACGTATTAGCAGCTATTAAAGTATCTCGTTCTGCACCTGTGACTGACATTTATCACATTTGATGCTGATGCTTCTGTGTGTGAGCAGCATTTAACTATTGTTGCTGCTCAAGGTGGAGATGATTCATATCTCTTGATACACAGATTAGTTCAGTGGATCCAAACCTAGGGGTCGGGCCCCTCCAAAGGGTCACAAGATCATCTGAGAGGTGGTGAGATGATTGATGGCCGAAGAAAGAAGAAAAAACTAATTTCTGCAACACTATGTATATACATTTATGAGACTTTTCTCTAATCTCCACCTCAAAAAATTACATAATTAGAACACTTTGAGCCTTGACAAGTTATTTAAATGAAACCATCTGGGAAGTTTAAAATAAAAAGGTCTGTTTGATGGAACTTTGAATAACTTATAGACGTCTTAAATATGCGACAAGGGACCCCAAAGGTCACTAGCCAAAAAGGTAATGTCATACTTAAGTAAATTAGCACCAAATGTAAATAGCTAAAGCATAACTGCCTCAAAATGATGATTAATTACAGAACTGCTGTAAATGTACTTAATTATTTTCCGTTATTCAATCAAAGTCAAATATCCACTGAATCTGATTATTCAGTAACTGATATTGCTTTGATAATGATGATGATGATGATGATGGTGATGATGATGATTATATGAACTCTATCTGTAATTGGACAACAAATATAAAAGTGCATTATTAAAATCAGCTGGACAAGTGTTTCCATGGAGACAAATTTGGATTTTGAGGCGTTCTTTCACCCAGTGGTGTTCCCAGAAGCCAGTGATGATGGCCGGACCCAGAGTACGTGCAGGGTTCATGCTAGCACTGGAAAACCGCGCCTGGCAGGAAGAACAGCACACACACACACGCACGCACACACATGAACACATACACATTTGTATGTCATAAAAATATTATAAGTCATAGCATAGTGTGTAGTAAAAATCTATATTAAAAAAATATCAGTATAACTTATCCGGAAAAATATTATACGATGCCATGTAACATAATAAGAATTCATAGTACAGTATGTCAGAAAATAATTTTAAAAAATCATAGTATAGCATGTCAAAAAAAGAAAAAAGAGAAAAGTCATAGAAAAAAGAAAATCATGAAAAAAACGTTATAGTATAGTATGTCGTCAAGAATAACAAAAAACATGATATTAAAGAATGTACTCAGCAGTCACAAAAAAGAAGTCATAATATAGTGTGACTTCAAAAATAATGAAAAAAAAAAATTCATAGTATAGTATGTCGTCAAAAATCATGAATAAAAGTCACAGAATAGTATGTCATCAGAAATCATGAAAAAACGTCATAGTATAATATGTCATCAAAACTAATGAAAAAATGTCAGTAAAGTATGTCGTCAATAACATCTATTAAAATAATCATGGTATAGAATGTGGTCAAAAATCATGAAGAAAACTCATAGTATAGCATGTCGTCGAATATAATGAAAAACAGTCACGGTATAGCATGTCATCAAAAATCACAAAGATAAGAATAATATAGTATGTCGTCAAAAATCATGAAAAAACGTTATAGTATAGCATGTTGTCAAAAATATCATTCAAGATAATCATAGTATAGTATGTGGTCAAAAATCATGAAAAAATGTCATAGTACAGCATGTCGTTAAAAATCATGAAAACAAGTCATAGTATAGAATGTCGTCAAAAATCACAAAAAACGTCATAGTATAGTATGTAATCAAAAATCATGAAAAAAAGTCATAGTATAGTATGTCGTCAATAATATCATTCAAAATAATCATAGTATAGTATATCGTCAAAAATCATGAAAAAACGTTATAGTATAGCATGTTGTCAAAAATATCATTCAAAATAATCATAGTATAGTATATGGTAAAAAATCATGAAAAAATGTCATAGTATAGTATGTCGTCAAAAATCACAAAAAACGTCATAGTATAGTATGTCCTCAGAAATCATGAAAAAACGTCATAGTATAGTGTGACGTCAAAAATGATGAAAAAATGTCATGGTATATTATGTCGTCAATAATATCTTTCAAAATAATCATAGTATAGTATGTTGTCAAAATTCATGAATAAAAGTCATAGTATAGTATGTCATCAGAAATCATGAAAAAACGTCAAAACTACTGAAAAAATGTCATGGTATGTTATGGCGTCAATAATATTGATTAAAATGATCACAGTACAGTATGTGGTCAAAAATCACGAAAAGAAGTCATAGTATAGTATGTCGTCAAAAATAATGAAAAAATGTCATAGTATAGTATGTTGTCAGAAATCATGAAAAAAACGTCATAGTATAGTGTGACGTCAAAAATCATGAAAAAACGTCATAGTATAGTATGTCGTCAATAATATTTTTAAATAATAATAGTATAGTCTGTCTTCAGAAATCATGAAAAAACGTCATAGTATAGTATGACGTCAAAAATAATGAAATAAAGTCATAGTATAGTATGTTGTCAAAAATAATTAAAAACGTCATAGTATAGTATGTCTTCAGAAATCATGAAAAAACATCAGAGGTTCGTGTACCGCTGCACTTTGGTTCATAGAGGATAGTGTGTAGTCAAAAGTCACACAAAATGTCACAGTACAGTATGTCGTCAAAAATGGTATAGTATAAAAGTATAGTATGTCAGTATGTCATGTGTAGTATGTCATTAAAAATAATGAAAAAATGTCATAGTATGTCGTCAAAAATAACAAAAAACGTGATACTGCAGTATGTTGTCATAAATCATGTCAAAACATCATAGTATAGTATGACATCAAAATTCATGAAAAGTAAGTCATGTTGTCAAAAATAATAAAAAAAACGTCATAGTGTAGTATGTCGTCAGAAATCATAAAAAAGGTAAGAATATAGTATGTCGTCAGAAATTATGAAAAAAAGTCAAAGTTTAGTATGTCGTCAAAAATAACAAAAAATGTGATATTTCAGTATGTCGTCAAAAATGATTTGAAAACATCATAGTATAGAACGTCCTCAGAAATCATGAATAAATGTCATAGTATAGTGTGACATCAAAAATAATGAAAAACAGTCAAAGTATAGCATGTCGTCGAAAATCACAAAAAATGTGATATTTAAGTGTCGTCAGAAATCATGAAAAAAGTTCATTGTACAGTATATTATCGAAAATAAGGAAAAGAATTCATAGTATAGTATGTCATCAAAAAAAGAGAAAAAAATCATAGTATGTCATCAAAAATTAAAAAAAAACGTCATCTGATGGTTTATCTTCAGAAATCAGGAAATAACGTCACAGTATAGTGTGACGTCAAAAATCATGAAAAAATTTCATAGTATAATATTTTGTCAAAAACCAGTAAAAAACGTCATAATATAGTATGTCATCAAAAATCATTTAAAACATGATTTGTCTTTGAAAATGATGAAAAAACCTTCCATTATAGTATGTAGTGAAAAATCATGGATATAAAGTGATATAGTATGTCATCAGAAATCATGAAAACACGTCAGTATAGTATGTCATCAATAATATATATATTTTTTTTAAATTATAGCGTAGTATCTGGTCAAAAATCATGAAACAAAAGTCATAGTACAGTATGTAATCATTAACACTTAAAAAAAAGTCAAAGTTAAGTATGGCACAAAAAATGATGAAAAAACGGAATAGTAAAGTATGTCATCCAAAATCATGAAAAACATCAAAGTATAGTATGTTGTCAAAAACCGTGAAAAAATGTCATAGTATAGTATGTTGTCAAAAATCATGAAAAATGTAATAGAATAGTATGTTGCCAAAAAGGATGAAAAAAAGTCATAGTATAGTATGTGGCCAAAAGTCATGAAAGAAAGTCATAGTATAGTATGTTGTAAAAAATTATGAAAAAACCTCATAGTATATTATGTTGTCAAAAATCATGAAAAAAAAGTCATAGTATAGTATGTCGTCAAAAATTCTGAAAAAAAGTCATAGTATTGCACGTTGTCAAAAATCATGAAAAAACGTAATATTAAAGTATGTCATCCAAAATCATGAAAAAATTTATAGTATAGTGTTTTCAAAAACCATGAAAAAAGTCATAGTATAGTATGTTGTCAAAAGTCATGAAAAAAAGTCATAGTATAGTATATCGCCAAAAATCATGAAAAAACGTAATATTAAAGTATGTCATCCAAAATCATGAAAAAAGTTATAGTATAGTGTTTTCAAAAACCATGAAAAAAAGTCATAGTATAGTATGTCGTCAAGAATCATGAAAAAACGTCATTGTATAGTATGTTGTCAAAAGTCATGAAAAAAAGTCATAGTATAGTATGTTGTCAAAAATCATGAAAAACAACATATTATACTATGACATATCATGAAAATAGTAAAAAAAAAGTCATAGTATAGTATGTTGCCAAAAATCATGAAAAAGAGTCATAGTATAGTATGTTGTCAAAAATCATGAAAAACAACATATTATACTATGACATATCATGAAAATAGTAAAAAACGTGTAGTGAAGTATAGTATTTCACCAGATGACATACTATACCTTTACTTAACCGTAATAGTATAGAATATCAAGTCATTTTATAGTATATCATAAAATATATCCTAAAATCATTATAAGCGTCATGGTATAGTGTACATTAAAAATATATATAGAATGTTATGTAAGAATGAATGTGTCCACTTTTCCTGCTCAGGCCTATGATGGCTCCCTGATATGGCACTGAGTTATCAAAACATTAAGACTCCTTGATGTAGGATTTTTGGTTCAGAACATTTTAAAATGGTCAGTTTAGCTGGTTTTTTTTTTTATTTTTTAAATAAAATTGGCTACAGAAAGCGACCATTCAAAATGTTTCCCTTCAACGTATAATTGTTTATTACAGCCCTGTATACATTAGAAAGTGAGAAAGTTCTGTTAATTTGTCTTTATTTTATTCATGAAACCATCTTAGAACCAATACAAAATCTGAGTTGAATAAATGTGACACTAATTGTTCTGTATGAAAGCTCCTCTTACCCCTATCAGCACTCCAGCAGTGTGTGCTAATCCAATGGCCAGGTTTCCTGGTTCTGGGCTTTCCCTCCGCCGCTGATCCTCCACTGAGAACACAGTGAAGACCAGCTGGAAGGTGCACAACACCTCGATGCCCAAAGCCTGAGCTGCATTCAGCTCCATGGGAACCTGAGTGAGGTAAAACAGGAGTAAGAAGACAGAGAGAGGGGCAGGATAAGAAGGAATATTTTGTTGTAATGTGTTTATCAATAATCTGACCTTGTTGACGAAGTGGTCTGCAGTGCTTTTGACCGGCAGGGCCAGGTAGAGGGCCCCGGCTCCTAAAGAGGCCCCCAAACACTGTGCAGCCACATAAAGAGCGGCCCTGAGGACATCCAGCCTCCGAGTGGTCAACAGAGCCAGAGTCACTGCAGGGTTCACCTGATCAGAGGGCAAACACATATTTACTTTTGAACAAAGTGACAAATACTGAAAAACAATTTAACAACAGGAAAACTCAATGCCAGTGGTGAAAGGTAACTAAGTATATTCACTCAGGTACTTGTACTGTTGTACACTTGGCTACTTATAATTATTTATTACTTTTAACTTTTCAGTGTTTGTGGTGAAAGCAAATACCGTAAAACTCAGAATATAAGTCACACTGGCATATAAGTCGCAGTCTATTTTTTAAGGTCTCAAACAGGGGAAACAAGGTTTTATATTACTATTTGTTAATAAAAACGTTATACAAGTTATTCCTACACTGTTTACCTTTATTTTTAATTTGAAACACATTCAAAACACAATAACCTCTTAAGCAGCTTTGGTTACTTTTCAGATTGCAATTTTCCAAACAACCTCTCCAGGAAATAAAATTACGGTATAACAACATCTGAGCCATAAAAATGAGTTTAAATTAACGTTAAACTTCTTTCGTGTGGGTCAAATTACCTATGCCAGCATTTACCTTGGTCTGTAGGTCGCACCGGTCTATAACCCGCACCCAACTTTTTAGATGAAAAAAAAGGGAAAAAAGTGCGACTTATACACCAAGTTTTACGGTAAATCTGTCCACACACTAATAAGTCCTCTATTTTCCTCCAAGACTTTTGCATGGAGCCCACACTGTAACTAACTGCACTCCCTGAAGACATATGATCATTATCATATTTTTGGAAAAATGAAAGAGTGATTCCAGAGAGAAGCAGACAGAGGGGTCTACAGTCTGTGTTTGAAGGATATATCCAGGATGTCAAACTGACTCAGCAGCAACAACAGGTTAAAAAGACAAAGATAGTTAGAAGCTAAAGCTGAACTATAGGCTACAGATCACAGTGTCAAAGTGAACCACCACATCACTGCTGATCGACACACAAGACAATGAATATAAAGGGAAACTTTGCTGATATTGAACCAGCTGTGTGGCATCACAGTGCGTGCAGATGAACTGGTTCCTGTACAGCAGGGTCGGCCTTTGTTTCACTGTTATAATCAATAAAAAGCAAAAGCAGCATGTGTATACATTCAGTAGGCTATATCTTCAGTAGCTAGCTAGCTAACCCTACACTTTTCAGGGTTTGATTTTGGTTTTGGAACAGGGAAGAAACGTATATCTTTTTCCAACCTCTCCAGGTAACGAGTGTCATTAATACACAACGTGCCCCAGACACAACATTTAGCTCCAAATCCACAAAACCAGTCTGAAAATCAATGGAGCACAGCTGTGTTGTTGTTGGACCTTGGTCTGAGCCGGCCCGATGCTATGCTATGATTGGCCAGTCTGCTTTAAAGGGGTGGGACTTAGTGAAGGTCAGTTGTAGAATGCAATCTAAAAATCTACATCTACAGCATGACAAATGAAAATCTGAATGTTGGAGCCACATGGAGCCAGTGGAGAAGGTCTAAAGAGCTGCAGGTGAGCCATCAGTGGTGATATATGAGTCTATACACTGTTTTTTAGGAAAATACTGCACTGTATACCTTTAAGTAATATCTTAAATGCAGGACTATTACTTGAAATTAATTGTTACTCAAGTAAAAGATCTGAGAACTACCTTGTTACCACCAGCAAAGAGTTTCAAAGATTCAATAAGAGGAAGAAAAATAAAGTGAATGTGTGTCACCTGTGCCCCGCTTATTTCTCCAAAACAGTGTCCCAGTGCAACAACCACCACCCCCACTGCCACTGCAGGGTACAGGGGTCCCATGGGGCCCTCTCCAGGGCCTGGCACAGAGGCACCCAGCACAGCGCTCACTAAAATCAGGGTGCCGAGCAACTCTGCAACTATGGCGAGCCAGAACTGCCGACTGCGTAGCTCCTCAGAGAAAGGGGATATAAACAAAGGTGGCCTACATTTAGTTCACCAAAACAAAATTATTCAAAGCCTGATAAGTGCTGGGATCTGTTTTAAAAACATGATAAACTTATTAATATGATCACATGTGGACAATATGCTGAAGAGTATCAATCTGTTTGTTAAGACAGTCCAAAAACAGACAGAATTGACTCAAGAAACAAACAGAATATTCTTCTATCACTGTATCTGACACAAACAAGTCAAACTGAAATAAAAAATTAACACCTACATATCCTGTGAAATGTCAACACACAGGAAATTAAATAAGATGCTCACCTCACGCCACGTCATTTCAAACTCTGTGATATTCCTCTGTATGTCGTCTGTTTCTCTGCCCGTCTGTCCGTCTGTGTGTAGCTGTCGGGGTCTGAGGGCTTCAGGGTCTCTGCTTCATCCCTCATTACCTTGTAGAGTCTGAGAGCTCCTTTGATGAGAGCAGCCTCCCCCCTCCCTCCCTGTCTCCTCACCCTCTCCTTACCCCACACCTCAGGCCCTATCACCTCCTCCTGTGCACAAACACTAGTCAGTGGAAGCCCTTGAAACGATGTCTCTCTTCAAGGTTGCATGCGTAACACGCTGAACCCTGCCAGTTTGCAGCTGACACATTCTGCCGACCTTGAGCAATTTAATGCATCTTCAGGAGCCTTTCACTTATCTCCGGACTGAAGTGATTGTGGCCACTTCAGAAGGGGCAGTCAGGACATAAAGTATTATAACCACTTATGAAAAAGGCCTGAAATCACAAATATAAGCACTCCAGTGAAAGTAGGTCATATAAAGTTGAGGTTGAACACCTGTTAGTAGCTTCAGACGACGTCTGTCAGTTGGTGTTTTACAGTAATACTCACAATTCAAAGCTCAAAAGAGGCCGAACCGTCTCTCAAAATCTGACCAAGTTTCCAAAATACAGAAATTTGTCAGATGCGATTGAGTATTGTGTCCGAACTAGTGTTTCCCAGTGCTGGCAGCTATTTACTCGACATCTTCCTGTGCAGTTTTTTCTGTTTCTGGTGTACCATCATCATATTATTGCCTGTTTGTCATGTTTTTGGACATGTATCATTGAGGGTGATTTATTATTCTTACATTATACCTTCCTCTCAGTGTTGTTGTCATGTTTTTGAACTAGTATCAGAGAGGTTGAACCCTTGAGCGTTTTATACACTCTCTTTTTAGTGTACAATATTAGTGATGACATGTTTTTACACATGTATTGTTGGGGGTGATCCTTTGTAAGCCCTATGAAGTTTTTCCTGCCATTGAATATTTAGGTTTAACTTTATCCCTTCTGTCAAATGACCTCGGTCTCACTCCGAAGTCATCGAAAATCAAGCAAGTGGGCATCACAAACCAACGAAAAAAGGCGTCCTTTAACGTCGGCATGATACATGGATGACAAGGATGAAAGTTAAGGCAGCAAAAGTCCAAATAGGGTGGATGAGAGGGGTGGTGGATGGGTCAAACGAACACCAACTTTCACCCGAGAGAGTGGTGTTTGTGTCCTGTAAGATTCTAAAACAAAACTCTATTCTTTTTCCTAAACCCAACCATGTATGTTTGTTGTTGAAGGAAAAAAAACATAATTTTGCGGTGTTTTACTGATGTAGTGCTTTTATTTTGAAAGAGACTGTATGTTAACTTTACATTTCTGGTGATAACAGTGTATTTTAAGTTAGTGTATTTTGAAAGAAGACAATGCATGTAACAGGCAGAACTTGACACGGAGCCCCAGAACGTCGTCAACCAACGCACCCAGGGTACCTTGCACGACTTATCTGGACGTGGAAAGTCCATGACCAAATGTCAACATGTGACGAGGTCGGAGTGAGAACGTGTTGGTCAAATTCTTTTGTTAGTTATCATGAGTTAGTTAGTGACTTTATACACGTTATGAGTTTGCTGTCCAAACACACGTATTGTTGTTTGTCCTCGTCATGCATATCTTGTGTGTCACAATATATAACAATTCTTATTTTATTTCATTGTTGTTTTCTCTCTGTTTATTTGGCATTGAACCTTTTTCTCTTGTCACTAAGTATGTTAATAATTAATAGTTAACATTTATGTCATTTTCATTTGCATTTTCTGTCAATGTGTTTTATTGTCTAGTAGGGCTACACTAATAAATCATGTGACCTGTGTCACATGACTCACATGAGCTCTTAAATTGCACACTTGTTTCCAATGCATTTTACACCCTGATGAAGACTCTCAATGCACTGGTTTAACCATCTATTAATAAAGGATTTTAACTGGATGTTTTTTAGGACTGTCTGCCTGTACTATGGACTCCTGCACTGAGTGAGCTGGCCAGTTGTTGTTTTCTTTATCTGCCAGCTATTTGTTTGTTCTGTTATTTGAAGGACCCCCATTAGGTGATGCCAATGCAATCAGCTAATCTTTCTGTTATCCAAACCTGTGTGTACAGTACGTAACACATTACATCATGGGAAGGTCTGGTTGTATAAGCCTGTGGCTTCTTGACCTCTCCTGACACATTTCTTATTTTTTTCTTTTTTTAACTATTTGGATTTAATGCAGTTTAATGTGTGTGCAAATAAAAAAACACCCCAGACATTACTTATAACAATAATAATGTATTTTATTCATAGACACCTTTCCAAGCACTCAAGGACACTTTACGAGACACAGTTAAAAATAAACAAGCAGCAATGTATCCATAGATCATAAAGTCAAACAAAACAGCTGAAGGCTCTGTAACCCATGGAAGTCAAGCGGGCATTATTGCATTAATACACATGAAATTACATTCATACACAAATCAAAGCCAGTTAAGCCCTGAATGTCCTCAAAATCTTAAAAACACCCCTGCGACACCTGGTCTGTGCAGGGCTGCTGGATCTGGATTTGCCTCTTGGCAAAGATGAGTAAGGACATGTGAGCAAATGCCAAAAGGTTGAAAGAAGGCAATTCATTTATTACACATAAATACCATTATTGTTCATTTATTACTGACCCCTGACCTCCTGTCACTTTGCAAAAGTGGATTATCTCTGCACTAAAGCAACAAATGCTTCACAGCTGAACATATATCCTCACATATCTATGATTTACTCCTTTTTAAGTAATGTTCAATAAAAACTACAGTGCCCAGCTGTAGGACAAACTATCTGAGAAATAATGACATTGAAATAACTAACATGGTTAACATTATGCCTCTAAAAATAAGCATGTTTTGGTAATATGAGCATGAACATAAAAAATTATCTCACTAGCTTTAGTTTGTGTTTGAGGGTTATAGATTGGGTGGTGAAATGGAGACCTTTGTGTGGAATTTGTTGACAATGCCAAAATTATAGACCACATACTTGAGTATATCATTAACATAACATTAAGGTGTTTGTGGCGTGTTCTGAGCATCTGGCGCCCATCACTGCTCCTCAGCCTGATTTTCATATTAATTATAGGACAAAAGGATGATAAGTGAGCAGAGAGGACCAGAGCAACAAAAACAGACCATGTCCTCTGCTTTGAATTGATGCATTCCAGCATCAGATTCTCTCTCGTCATGTCTCTTGTGTCCTCAAATGTTTTATCTCCTGCTTTTCAGACCTGAAGGTTTTCCTTGTTCGACAGGAAAATAAATACAATAAGAAGAGCAGTGTAAAAGCCTTATGTGACTGTCGTGTTATGTTGACACTAAACCCAGTGATCTCAAATATGATGTCCTCCCACCCTCCTTGTGCTCTGATCACCATGGGGACAAACTCTTTCATGATGCTGTTGCCATAGAGCCTATTGTGATGCTGCGTCTGTGCAGGCTTTTCATTTTCACTCTTTGAATATCAAACACACACGCACACACACACACACACACACACACACACACCTTGTGAAGACGTTTTGTGACACAGACAGAACTCCTCTAACTTAAAAACTAAGAACATTCACCTTAGCGGTGTCGGCGATGCAACAAGTCACGGCTGCTTTGCAACATCTGAACACTGACATTTTAAATGTGTTTTTATAATCTGTGTGTTTTAGTGGCAGCTGACATGATGCTGAGATGTTTGGAGTCCGATCTGATTCTCCTGACCCTCCAGGCATCAGGGGCCCTCAATCTGGAACTGGAGTCCAGAATGAACTGGTTGGTTGGTTGGTGGAAGAGGGGGGTTGGGGGTGCTGCTGGCGTGCCCCATTATGCCATGGATTACCCCCTCCTCTCCACAGCAACTGTTAAACTGTTATCCCCCCTTTTGTGGGGCTAAGCCCAACTGTGTGAAGCGGGACGGGCGGGGGGCACACTGGAACCCGCTGGCGTGGGGAGTTTTCAGCCCCCTCCGCCCAGAGTGCTGACACTGACACAATTTCACACACACACAAATATACACACACTCGTACAAAGTGCCAGCTAAGGGATTTGAGGGAGCGACAGAGGGCAAAGAGAGATGCGCTAAAACATTATACACTTTTTATTTTATTCTGAGTGTGTACTTTTTGCTGTTGTCTTTACATGCTTTGATTTAAGTGTTGGATTAGCCTGTAAGTGTGTGAATGTGTTGCACTTGAGTCTCCGTCACTGTAGAGCAGCTGGCAGTGATGGCAGGATGTTCCCAGCAGCATGTGCCTCAGACAGGACTTTCCACGGAGCTGCGGAGCCCCGCCCAAACACTTCAGCATATTTCCATCATGGTCAAGGGCTCTTTTTTCACTCTTAAAGGAGCTGCATACAACATTCACAGCACATCTATGATTCAGAGTCTGGAGTGGAATTGTCTGCACATGGCTCTCAACATGGAGGTGGCTGAGCTGGCAGCTAGCAGCAATGATGCTAACAGCACAAACTGAGCTAACAGCAGCAACAGTGCTGACACAGCTAACGGTGTTAACTTGGGGGGAACCAGAGGGTAGGTGTAAGGCTTTGGTGATGACACTGTTGCCGTTAACAACAGCAACTTCCCGTAATCACCGTATGATCACAGTACAGAGCAGCGGCAATTAGCTAGCCAGCGGGAAACACACACAGAAGGACTCATATGCACTCACAGACACGCATGGCCAGACTGTCTACCAAAACACGTCACAGCTTGGATTACAACCACAGACTGTATATAAAGATGGACAACTTAACAGCTCCCCAGAAATGAAGCCAACCTCTTGATCACCCCCTGGTGGCTGGTTGCAGTATAGGTCATAACCCCCTCCCCCTCCAAAGTACAGTCTCTCTCATGTTAAGTAGTTCTAATCATGCATGATGTATGTTTAAGTGTTAACTCCTCTGATAAGTTTGGTTTTAACTAGTCATTTGATGCTATAAAAAGGGGGTGTGGCATCATGATTGACAGCTGTATGTCAGTCAGTGTGGTCTCAACTAAGTCAGGTAGGTGTACAAGTGGGACCTTGATACTACAGCTCCACTGCCTGATCACTACTGCGCAGACTCTGGCTCCAAATTATG